GGCCCCCCCTCTATTCATCTGGGGTTGACTGCAGGCCTTGTTCCCCCACTTGGCAGTTCCCTGCAGCACCCTCTTCTCCACAGACAAACTTGCCTCCTGGTTCCTCAAGAAGCTGGTGGCCTCCAGACATAAGCTCCCTCACCTTCCCTTTTGTCCTGGGGGATGCAACAGACCAAGTCGGGGCCTTCATGTCCAGGTAGGAGGTGTTTCTCTAGATCACACACACACACACACACACACACACACACACACACACACACATGAAGTTAGCTGGGCCCAGGGCAGGCCTGCCCCGGGTTCCAGCAGTGGAGAGAGTGGTGGGGGAGATAGGGAAAGCTCCAGGTCACAAACATTTGCTGGTAAGGGCCACTAGCTTTGAGCTATGCAAACTCCTCTGCCTTCTCCCTGTAGAAGGTACCAGAGGTAAGCAAGGGGCCCGGCACGGCTTTCTCTCTTCCTTCTTCTCCAGCCAGCAGGTTTTTATACCCCTCTCTCCAGTAATCTCTCTTGAGAGTCCCTTGGACTGCAAGGAGATCAAACCAGTCAATCCTAAAGGAAATCAACCCTGAATATTCATTGGAAGGACTGATGCTGAAGCTGAAGCTCCAATACTTTGGCCACCTGATGTGAAGAGCTGACTCACTGGAAAAGACCTTGATGCTGGGAAAGATAAGGACAGAGGATGAGATGGTTGGAGGGCATCACTGACTCAATGGACTTGAGTTTGAGCAAGCTCTGGGAGATGGTGAAGGACAGGGAAGCCTGGTGTGCTGCAGTCCATGGGGTCACAGAGTCAGATACAACTGAGCAACTGAACAACAACTCCAATGATCTTTGGTTTGTTAATGAAAATTAAATTCAGGTAATGTGGTATTTGACAGAGGATGATATGGTTGGATGGCATTGCTGACTCAATGGACATGAGTTTGGGTAAACTCTGGGAGTTGGTGATGGACAGGGAGGCCTGGCATGCTGTGGTTCAGGGGGTCGCAAACAGCTGGACACGACTGAGCGACTGAACTGAACTGAACTGAATGTGGTATTTACTATTCATTTTAAGGAAAAAGCTCTGGGCAGTCTATGCCCTCTATCTCCCTGTAGAAATCTTGCCTGTTGGTTCCCTTGAATTCTTCCCTCTCAGCCTTCCTTCATTCCTTTCTCCCTAACTCTAAGTGGGAAGGGACTTGGGGATGGAGAAAGGACAAGGGATGAAGGAGACAGAGAAGTTTGGGTCCTCTGAGTTCTTCAGAATCCAGTGGAACAGACAAAAGCTTAAACAACTCATTTTAATACAATCTGGTGAAAGTTATAAGGGAAGGAACCTGGAGCTGGGGGAGCACAGGGAAAAGGGCTGACTCTGGGTAGCCGAGATAGCTTTGCCCTGAGACCTGAAGGACAGGGGGAGGGAAGCAAGCAGGGCATTCCAGGCCAAGGGGACAGTGTGGAGCTGGGATATACCATGGTGGGTTTGAGAGAATTCAATATGGTAGAAGAGTAGTGTATGTGAGGCTGGAGAACTAGAAGGTCCTGGGCTTGATTCTATGGGTGGTCGGGACCTTCTGGGGGATCTGCCCTATGCAGGACACACACACACACACACACACACACACACACACGAATCCTGGAGGTGATGTTTGTGTGAACAATAGTGGGCAAGAGAAGCAGAATACTCTTTTCTCTTCCCTTTCCTCCTCCACATCCTGACTGGGTCAGTTAACATCTCTCCCAGGAATTTAAAGTATGCTCTGAGGAGTCCCGTTTGCTTCTGATGAAGACTCAGAAACTCAAGTGTAGCCATGGCTGACATCACATGCATGGAGTAGTTAAGAGAGACCAGGGTCCGTCTAGGGGGGCGTGCGGATTATGGTCAATGCTTGTGCTTTTTCTTGACCTTCTTTCTGGTTCCTGTCCTTGTTCGTTCTAGGCTCGCCCTGTCCTTAGCCTCAAGGGTGAGATACTCTTTCACATATACTGCTCACTTGAGTAGTTTTCAACTTTCTGAATATATATTTTTTCATCCAGGAGACATATAGATACACACCTGTAAGAAAAACAAGTGTCAGGAAATGAAATTCATCTTCACTATGGGTGATACACACTGGAGAGTCTCCATTCTGGTTTTAAATGTTGGTTGCAATATACACGGAGCTAGTACAAGTGATTTTCTCTTATTTGCAAGTAGGAGCCTGGTTGAGAAATCAGGTTAACATACTTAATTGGTAGCCAGAATGTGGGTGCAAGGGTTATAGTTTTTCTGTTCATCAGAAACTACCCTTAGATTCAATCTCATCAGGGATAACAAATAGGTTTCAATTCCTGTGTCAACTCTGATCAGTTTTTAGTGGTTCCTTGGAGTGCTGAGTGGAGAGGAATCTGAAGCTCCCTCCAGTATGAGAGGGACAAGGTGCCGTGATCAGTTATTGATGTCTGCTGGGTCCAGGAGTGGTGGATATGTCACTTGTTCAGCATCTCCCCCAGGGCCCTGGCACAGAGTAGGTCCTCACTGAATATTTGTGGAAAGAATGAATGAAATATTTCCCATCTCTGGTTTTCATTATCTAATGAGGTTAACCTACCTCTAGATGGTTAGGCTGCTCCCATTTTAAAATCTATCTAGAATTCAGTTTTGCCCAGCAGGAATTCCTAAGAAGCGTTCTTATTGAAGACAGAAAATGCTGCAGAATCCTGATCTCCTTTTCACAGCTTCCTGCACTGCACAGGTGTCCTCTAACACCACATGGGCCCCTATTCCCTTCAGCTTCCTGAATTCTGTTCCATCTTAACTATTGTCCCAGATACTCCCTGGCTTGGCCCCACTCATCAGCCTGGCTCCTCCTACTGCGCTCTCGGCCTCCTGCCCTTCCCAGAGGTCTCTGCTCTGCCCAGCCTGTCTTCTCTGGGGCTTCTCTACTTCTTCCTTAGCACACCCAGTCTGGAGTACCCCAGAGTACCAACTCAGTGTGTGCAGAGATGGGAATGAAATCTTCTGTGGGATGGATGAGCTATCAGCATTGACACCGATCATTCCAGAGAGCTGAGGAATGGAGCAGGAAAGACTGTAAAATGCCGTTTGCTGAGAACCAAGGCACATCTGTTGTCACACATGAAGTGCAAAGGATTCCGTGGGCCCAGGTGGCAGGTGTGTTGTTTTTAAGCCGAAACATACTCTCTTTCTACTTCTCTGAGACAACTGTGTGGACAAAGAATTCCAAGGCTCTCGCTGGCAGGCCAGGAGGGAGTTGTCACCACTGGACCCCTGCTGCTGGTGGGAACAGGGCCTACTGACTGACTGACTGCAGGAGAAATTGGCTCGGTTTTCCTTTCAATTGCACGCATGTGGTTGAAGGATACACACACCATGAGGATTCCCCATCCCTGGAGCCCTAATCTCTCTCTGACTCCCACTGACCACCACCACCACGTCCCCCTAAGTGGCACCTAGGCTAGAGTGGGGACAAAGACCCAGGTTCTCCCAAGCGGTCACCTCCACACCCTGCACAGGCCACTCAGATGCGAGAGGCATCCGCCTGCGGCTGACGGGCAGGAATTCATTGCAATCTCCTTGGCTCTGTCCTTGGCGCTTGGAGCCATTTCCTGGAATGGAGGGGGAGGAAAATATTTCCCCCAAATACCAAGAAGAGTTATTTTGGGCATAAGATGTACAAAATGTGAGAGGGATGCTCCTTTGGCCAACATGGAAACGTTCCCCTCTGCCCAATGTCCTCAACTGCTTGAAAAGGGAAGAACCGAGTCACACCCACTGCTTTTCTCATGCCCTCTCCCTCTGCCTACATGAGAGAAAAGATCAGCAAGACCTTCCTGCTCAGGAGGGCGTTAGAGTGGGAGCGAGTATGGTTCTGCACACTGTCCTGGTGGGAAGAGACTGGATACCCTCTGTCCCACCTGGTCCTAGCTGCCCACTGCACTGCCACGTTAGGCTCTACAGAGCAAACACCAGAGCCTGGACAGAGGACAGCCTGGGGAGTCTTTGAGCTCTTGCACTGGGGTGGTGCCTTCCAGTCCCTGCCCTCTGCCTCGCCTCCCCTGCAGACTATCTTCCCATCCCCTCCAAGGCTGCTGTTCTCAAATGACAACCAGGCCACCATCAAGTGTCATTTGGATCAAAAACTGTATTTAAGAATTCACTTTTCCAAAGTGCCACATCTTTAAGCTATAGAAACTGGAGTGTGAAGGCAAACCCATCCACCATGAAATTGAAACCAAGCCGGGAGAGATGGCAGGCCTGGTAGGTGTCACCCGGGGGCCCACCTGCCAATAGTGTGCATTTATCAGTTTTGGCTAAATGGTTACAGTGGGAAAAGTTTAACAGGGCTTTCCCAGGATCCCCTGTTTCCTCGCCCCAAAGGAACCCTATTTTATCCATAGTGTAAAAGGCAATTCTCATGACTTTGAGGCCAGATGCAGTGAGATCTTTCCTAATTTCTTTGGGAGATTCAGGTTCTCCCAGTTTTTCTGCTCACCCCTACTTCCTCATCTCCATCCTATAGCCTAGGTTTTATACAGTCCTTCGCATTCACAAGTCAGGAACCCTGCTGGAAAACGGTGCCTGAATTCTCATCCGCAGAACAAGACTCCTTGTACACCCTCAGAACTCTACACTCCTCAGAAACTCAACGAACGTCCCCTGCACATGGGGGCGGGGTATCCCGATCTTTGGGGGTGTGCTCAAGGCCATTTCCAAAGCATGTCAAAGGCAGGGCTGGAGTCTCTGGCAGTCTCCTGGGGCCCAGGCTGGCTCCTGGAGCGCTGATTCCTGCCCCGAGGGCAGGCACAGCCCAGCCGCAAAGCTAGCGTCCCCCGGCTCCCAGCCGCCTTCCCACCGGTTAGAACTCTGGTGCAAAGTTACCCCAATCCAGAACCAAGCCGTCCGCCCTGCCCTTCGCTCGCCTCAGTTTCCCCAGGGTCCCGGGTGGGCTGGGCTGGGTGGCCTGCCAAGAAAGACCGGCGGAGAAGGAGAAAGGAGAGAGCCGGGCACTTACCTCGCCGCTGCTGGCGCCGCGATTCCTCGATCCCTCCGGGGCTCCATGCCTGCCCGCCCCTCTTATAGCCGCCCAAGCGCAACTTGCGCAATTGCCCTACAGGCCGGGGCGCACCCGCAGCGCCAGCTCCCGCCCTGCGGGGCGGCGGGGCAGCGTCGGGCCGGGCGGCCGCGGGTCGGGGCCTCCAGGAAGGGTCTCGGATACGCCAGGGGCCCCATGCCCACCCTCCGGTATCTCCTGAAAAGCTGGGGGCGGCTGGGCAGGTGTGAGAAATCCTCGAGGTGGCCCCAGGATCTGCCCCTCGGGCCTCGGGGAAAGGCCGCCTGGGACAGGGTGGCGGTGAGGGGTTCCTCTGAGCCTGCTGGGAGCGGTGGCGCCCCGACAGTGAGGCCGGAGCAGCCAGCTCCGCTGGGCGGCGGGACCCGACGGCTCTGGGCGCCCGGGGAAACCCGGGGTTGACGAGAGCGGCCGGGCGTGCTCCTGGCCTGGAAAATCACACCTGCCTTGATGATGGTGTGGAGGGGATGATGAAAGTCAGGCTCACACAGGTCCTGGAGGCACCGGTCGTATTGCATTTCCTAACGGGAACGTGCTCCCCCCAAATCTGTGTGCTCCGCCAAGTCCCACAGGGGTCCGTTTTGTTCACATCTGTATCCCACATTGATAGCCTGGTGCCTTGCACGAAGAATTTCATTTTTAAGATATATTTTTAAATGAAAATGGCAAATTTAGGCTTAACGTATTATTTTTGCATATTTGCATCATTAATTTTTTTGGCTAAAATATTCTAAAGCAAATTACAAACATCATGGCGTTTCATCCTTAAATACTTCAGTGTTTATCTCTGAAAAATAAGGAAGCATTTCTTTCTCTATCACAAGACCATTACCACACAAGAGTAATTCTTTAACATCATGAGCTAGTTTGCATTTGAATTTTACCCAATATCTTTTTAAAGATATTTTATAATTACTTTGTTTGAGTCTGGTTGTTTTGCTTTTAATAATTATCTATTGAAGAAAGGAAGGATATTGTACTATATATTTGTAAAGTCAGAAATTGTTAGCATTGACCATGATTTATAATTACATGGCCACTAAAAGGTGGGACAACAACTAAATGTTCAGCGTAGGAAATTAGTAAGTTATTGAAAATCACATAGCAGCAATATGCACACATTAAAAATTATGTTATAAAATAATATTTAACACTGTAGGAAAATAACTTTATTTTGTGAGCTGGAAAGAATCAGGTTATAAAATGGTATGTGTTTTCTGATCACACACATGCCAATCAATACACACACTCTCACACCAAAATGTGCATTATCACTACTGGGAGTAGGATCAGGAATCTTTAAGCTCTTCTTTGTGCTTTTTTGCTTTTCATAAAAGCATCTACAGGGGACTTCCCTGGTGGTCCAGTGGCTAAGATGCCCTGCTTCCAAATGCAAGGGCCCCCAGGTTCAATACCTGGTCAGGGAACTGAACTGGGTCCCACATGCTGGAGCTAAGAGTTCTCATGCTGTAACTAAACATCCTGCATGCTGAAACTAAGACCCAGCACTGTCAAATAAAGAAATGTTTCTTTTAAAGTGTCTACAATGAAATTTCATTTTGAAGAAAATCTTTCCTCCCCCTGTCCGCACCCCCACCCCGCTGGAAATGCTGTTTTGTGTTGTTTTTCATATAGAGGCAGTAGCATCCACTACGACCAAATTTTTCTTGTCCACAACATCTGTGTAACTTGGTTCTAAGCACAGATTTAGCTCACAGGCAGGGGCCCTGGCAGCCTCAGGTTACTTGTCTTACCATCACTTTTTTAAGGGTCAGAGGTCAGATTGGGACCAGAGTTATTGCCTGAACACCAAGTAGCACTTGAGACCACAGTGTAAGGATGTGGACTGCCTATCTGCCTATCTACCCATCACCTACCTATTTTTTACATTTTGTGTTGATTAATAATTATTTTAAATAAATCATTATATATTATTATTAATATATTTATATAATATAATTATATTTATATTATATAATATATTTCATATTATATTATAATTATATGTTATATAATGAAGTATTTTTACTTTTAATTTTTTAATTGAAGTATAATTGCTTTACAATGTTGCAATGTTGTGTTAGATTAATGTATTATTATTTTAAAAATTCAAAAGGAACAAGGATATGAAAACTCAGTCTCTCCCTAGTCCTCCTTTTTTCCCTACAAGTAGTAGTTCTCAGTTTATGGTGTGTCCTTCCATGGATATTCTTTTTCTGTCCTTCATATACATATTTCCTTAAAAAAAAAAGCATGCAGGACTTCCTTGGTGGTACAGTGGATGAGAATCCTCCTGCCAGTGCAGGGACATGGGTTCATTCCCTGGTTGAGGAAGATTCCACAAGCTGGGAGCAACAAAGGCCATGTGACATGACTTCCGAGCCCAAGCTCTAGAGCCTGTGTGTTGCAACTACTGAGGCCCTGGGCGCCTGAAGCCCATGCTCCATGACAAGAGAAGCTCCCACAGTGAGAAGCTTGCACATTGCAATGAAGACACAGCATAGCAAAAAATAAATTAACTAATTTAAAATATGTATATTTAGGAGCATTTAAACGATGTCATATTATTCACACTAATGTTCTTGCCCCTTGCTTCTACATTTTTTTTTTATTTTGGAAAAATTTAAATTTCCACAATACACTTATAAGGAAAAATGGCATTACAAATGTCCATGTACCATTGCCCAATTTCAACCATTATTAATCTTACTTCTTTCACCTAATATATCCAGAATACAGTTTCTTGCCAATACACAGGGTTGTGCCAATCTTTTTAGAGTCAGCATATGTTTCATTTTACAGATGCACCATAATCAATCTAACCATATTGTTAGATACATAATGTTGTTAATTAATAGACTCAGAAGTACTTATTTGAGCACAGTGTGAGTATATTTGTGGGAGATTTCTTGATAAATAGAATTGTTGAATTCAAGGGTACATGCATTCAAAATAGAAATACATTGTCAAGCTACATTCCTCAGAGATTGTACTGATTTACATATGCAGTTGGCAGCAAGTAACACTGACTCAAACATTAAGGGCATTTCATTTTCTCTTATAACTGGAGGAGAACGGTTGCAGTAGCTTGGAGACATCATCAAGAATCCTGTTTCTTCTGATTCTCTGTTCTTCCATTGTGCTCTTGTGCTCATTGCTTCACTGTTGGGAGACAGAAGCTACTCCTCCAGGCACCAGGGCCTCACAAAAGGCAGGGCAGAGGCAAAACATTTTGTCTTTTTTTTTTTTTTCACCAAGCCATGTGGCATATGGGATCTTAGTTCCCGGACTAGGGATCGAATCTGTGTCCCCCTGCAGTGGAAGCTCAGAGTCTTAACCACTGGACCACCAGGAAGTCCCCCGACTTTCTTCTTTTGAGACTGTATTTCAAGTTGAGAAAGAGAAGTCACAGTTTCCCTTATTTCTCATTGACTGGAACTGGGAAATATCCTTAAACTCATCACTGGCCAAATGGAAGGTAATTGCCATGACTGATAAGACAAATCATAATCCCCTGGGTTTGGGGGAGATCAAAGCAGATGAAAGGAAGCTTTGTTCTTTCCTGAAAAAATTGGGGTTCTGTGAGCTCAGAAGAGGAGAAATGGATCTTGTGTATACAGTGAACAGTGCTTGCTATACTTCCCAGGTGGCTCAGTGGTAAAGAATCTGCCTTCCAAGCAGGAGACCCAGATTCAATCCCCACGGTTGGGAAGATGCCCTGGAGAAGAAAATGGCAACCCACACCAGTATTCTTGCCTGGGAAACCCTATGGACAGAGGGGCCCAGTGGGTTACAGTCCATGGGGTCACAAAGAGTCGGACATGACTTAGTGATTAAACAGCATACTCAACTATGGTGTTTTATCAAACTTCTGATACACTTGACTTCATTATTAAATAGTAAAACTTTAAAATCCTTTTTGTTTGAACCTTTGAAAACCCTCACAGTTAAAATAAAAATGGTAATTCTAACCCTTTGAATTTGAATATTGCTTTTTCTTTTTCAAAGCACTTTCATGGTTTTTGATTGACAGTCACCCACAGAAAGAGATAAAATGGGTCTTATTTCCCTGTTATGGATGAGAGCCTGCGATTCAGCGTGGTCAAGGGACGGCCCAGCAAGTGGCATCATTAGAGACCGCAGTTCCCAGCTACCATGGCCCCTGTGGTTTTGCACTGAGATCAGTCACAAGCTGCAGGCTCACGTGGGTGCGCCAGGGTCTGAAGGTGTCCTCACAGAGCTCTATGCTTTGCAGAGTCACTACTGGTGCCCTGTTGAAGGAGGAAAAAGGCAGACAAAGGTTAGATTTCTGTTCTGATCTTAGGCAATCCCAGGCACCTTCTCTTGTGTGAAATGTGCCTTTCAACCCACAGTGAGGAGGACCTATATAAGCTTATAGATTGGACTAAAAAAGTAACAGGATAATTCAGTCAAATAATGGGCTATTTTTCTCTAAGTTAAATATTTGTGTGAAGGTGGGAATGGGTGGGTGGGTGGACTGGATTGGTTCTCCTGGTATGTATGTGGCTTCTCAGGGGTGACCTCCCTAAGGGCAAAGACTGTATCTTATTCACCTCACTGTTGCCTGCCCCTGGCAAGGCTCCTGATGCATAGTAAGGGGTCCATAAATGCCTATCAGATGCAGGAGTGATCTGAGTTACTTCTGCTAATGACTGATGTCCTCCCTGTTGCCATCTGTCAGAGCACCGTGTTGCTTTCTACATAGCATGAATCAAAAACTACAATCAGTTAATTACTAATTTGTCAATGATTTTATCTTTGTCATGAGAATGTAAGTTCCATGAGAGTCAAGACTGGGTCTGCTCAATTCTAGCCCAGGGTCTGAAACATAGGAAGGATTTTAGAAATGGTTAAATGAAGCTTTGAGCAAATGCTTTCAGCAGTGTCTGGCACATAGTGGGCCCTCAGTAAACATTCCTGGAATAAACCCTGACT